TCAGCAGGGGTTTAAACTGCATGGGAAACAGCAGTGGATTTTAATGCTGAGGTATTAACTCCCTTGTGTTAAGTCCCTTCAGAACAGGAATCATACAACCAAAATGAATTAACTGATGACAGCACAGCAAATGTGCCTGTTGTGCTGCCAGTGGTACCCTGATGGTCAGCATGAAGAAATAATTCTTGGCCTGATCCATCCCAAATGGGAAAGTTTGGATCTACGTTTTTTCTGTAAGCTGAAGTTCCCTATCCCTTGCTGTGACCAAGGGACCAAAAGCATTTCTTAAGCATGTATTTCCCCCTTCTGCCTATTTTTGGGGAAAAGCGTCAACCAGAGTCTTCAGTGTGCATTTGTCATGGGATAGTTAGTAATACCATTTTTAACAACCTTTGCTGAGGTCAAGCAGAAGATTCTCAAAGGTGAGGCTGGGAGAGTATTAGGGAAAAGTATCATACGTTCTTGCTGTTTTTATACTCTTGCTTAGGCGTCTGCTTTTGGCCACTTTCAGACATGGGATAAATGAACTAGATGAATCTTTAGTCTGACTCACTAAGACTATATGATGACAAAAAGGAGTGGAAATAAGACTGTGGTAAAGACTGTTTTGTCTTTGCTGATTTATATCTAAAGAAGAATGGAAAATCTTTACCTGTCTGCTGTCTCCCTCCTCTCAAATAACTCCCTTACTCTACTCTTTTCTTGGAAGGAGGTATGTGACTGGGAAAACTAGTAAGATTATAGTGTCACAAATGTCTAGCAAATGAAGGTCGATTGATCTAATCATATGTATGTTTTAAAGCTCTGATTAGGAATTTGTAGTATGAGTCTTTTTTTTTTTTATCATTCATGGAAACAACTGAAAAATTATAAGAACACAAGTGTTAACAGTAGTAACTTTAACTCCTTCTGTAGATGTTTCTTTTTTGAAATGAGATCCAGATATAGATTTGTGTCTTTTTTAAAAAGAGAAGCTCAGCAGAAGTAGGAACACAACTTTTGATGCTCCTGATTGCTATATGAATAAGCAATAAAAAGGAAAATGACTCATTGGATTAAAGAAAAATCTCTTTTGAGCTAGTTTGATACAAAGATGCAAAAGAGAACACAAATCCAGTTTGTCCATAACTTAACTTTCTCATCCTTAAATAAAGTTCATTTTATGAAATAAAAAAAAAAAGTGCTTAGAAATATAGACTACTCAGTAAGTTTATCGAAATTTCACAATGAAGTTTTACAGATGAATCAATAAACTGGATAATGTAATCTGTAGTACCTTTGGGCAAGCAAAACGCACACTTGCATGAATAGCTGTCTTTACCATTCTTAGTGCATATAACTGAGTATTTCATGGAGACATGATACTCTATAAAAGATTATAATAAAAAGACTCCCAAAAATAAAAGGAAAAGGCATATGATGCTGCATAAAGCAGAGAAGCAAGGAGTTCTCCAACCCCTCTCCAAAATGTCAGGTAGATGAAAGAAGGAAAGAGCAGTAACAGATGCCTAGGGTGTTCTTCTCTTGCAAAGTCTGAAGTCCACAGAAAAAAAAAAAGGAAAGCAGTTAGTGTTCACAGCAGCAGCATCTTATTTTCCTTAGAATGAGACAGAAGCAGTAGTTCGTGCAAGATAAGCTGTTCCACTACTACTAGAGGGAACTGAGAGAAATGTAAAGGCTGGATGTTCTTTCAGTCCTTGCAGTGAGAGCCCTAAGCTTACATGTATGTGTCTATGATATGACTGAGCAGCTCTTGGACTATGTTTTTTTTTCCTTTTCTCCTTGCTTTTACTAAGGAGAACAAAAATGTATATACATATGTTGAGGAAAGACGTATCCACGCTTACACTATTGTTTGTAGCTTACACTATTGTTTTTCTCTGGTTGGGGGTGTGACTATAAAATCGAAGGCCATGAAGAGCTGAACTGGTTGACGCTTTAATTTACAATTTTAATGTACAATTTTGATCTTCCAGGGAGAATCTGGAGACTATTTTCCAGGAGATGAAAGAAGAATGTCATCGAATATGTATGCTCGCCAGAGAACAAACAGACCAACTGAGTAAATTTAAGATAAAGCGAGAACCTGAAACTGGTAATATCTTACTTAAGCTCTTATTGTGATTCAACTGTTTGAAAGCTTTGCTTTATATTTGAAAATACTGTAAATTACACATACATAGAAGTACTTCTACTGTTTACCATCTGCCTTTTTCAAGTCTGTTCACATGGTGCTCAGTATTTTACCAAGAAAACGCACCGTCAGTTTTGGCATTCCATGACGAATGCTCCAAATCACATGCTGTAAAAGACAATTGTCACATCAATGGCTCTCATAATTGTTTTGTCCCTTGGAGTGAGAGGCAGGCACTTAGTACATGTGATATCCCATCATGCTGTGTGAGTGACAGCACTTACTTTTAATTCAACTGTCAATTCAAAAAATGTCTATTATGAATGTCTCTAGCCCCATATTTGTTAGAAGAGAACTGCTGGACTGAAGAGAGTCAGAGGACTTATTTTCTAGACTTCCTTGTGCAGATTTGTAAATGCGATTTTGTTATATGGGACAAGAGCCTAAACCAACACTTCCAGAAAAGGCAGGAAAGACTTGATTTTTGTGGCAACTGGAAGGGGTCCTGAAGGTCCGTTTCAGCTAATGCTTATACTGACTATAATGTTCAGTAATGTATAATGGCTACTATGGCCATTCCCACTAGCTTTTCTTGACAGTAGGATCAAGCTCTAAGAGGTTTTAGAAAACGCCTGCCAAACTTTTACATGATTGAAGCAAAAGACACTGATTCCAGCACTTGCCTCTAATTTCAGTTATGCTATTACTTAAGCTCTTTTATGTGAACTGAGAATGTGTAGCCTGTGGCTTCAAGTGGTTATGGCTGAACTGTATTGTTATATTCTGAATGAACACTACTAAAATTTGTGATTTGGGGAGGGGAGAGGGAATCAGGGGGCCTTGGCAACTTATTCCAGACTGGACTTATTTTTTCATTAAATACATGCCTAACTCAGCTGTGTGAAAAGCTATATGTGATATAAATTTAATCTTTACAATTTCTTTTACTTATATGGCCCACATTACTACAATATCTGAGTGATGTCAGGAGGCACCTTTGTACAATAAATGTGCACTGAAGCTATTCCCTTACCTGATTAGGAGTAGTCATGTATTATTTTTGTTACTAAAGTGGCCTAAGTATATGGGGAATTCTCAAAACATAAGGAAAATATGGTCCCTCTTCTGAATAGTTTTACAGTTTGAATGTTTATCTAATTTAGAAATCAATGGGAGTTCAGCACCTGAATACCTTCTAAAATCTTGCTTATGGTGCCTAGCATGTTGTTGGCACTGTATGAAATAGCTTTGGTTCCAGCTTCTATTTCTGCCAGAACACTTCAGTAAATATATGCAAGTATGTGTTAAGAGTATGGGACAACATAAGTTTCAATAAAATAGAAATGTTTATAGCCATAAATCAAAGAGAAACAGAATTATTAGAATGGAATGATTTACTTTTATTTCTGTTCTCATCAGTTTTGGGTTGGAGCTAATGTCTGTGAAAGGGAAATGTGCCTCAAACTGACCTCAAAGAGAGAAAATAAAGGTTAAAAAGCCAAGAAGGAAAATCAAAAGCCTCTCAGGAAAAATACCCCAACACCACACCCTTTGCGCCTTAGTAATTATTTTCACATCGATAGTTTAATGTTTTCTTCTTTCTTTCTTCACAGAAATACAGTTTTCCATGCCTATACAGTGTACTGATAAAACTGATGAACAAGCAGAAGAGCTTTTTAAACCTCGGGTTATAAAGGATATAAATAGAGGTGCATCATGCATCACATCTATCACACCAAGAGGAGTGGGCCAAGATGAGGACAACAACTCTGTAGAATCACTTTCTAAATTTAATGTCAAGTTTCCACCTACAGACAATGACTCTGCTTTCTTGCAGAGCACTCAGGATAAACCAACAGTTCCTTGTGCTGGTATAGCTGAAAACATGCTTCAAGATCATCATTTTAACCTGGAGCACAGAGACCATGCTGTTAACCTCAGTAAATTGGAATCTAACTCATTTGAAACTCATGGAGTTGATCTCATGACCTCAGCTTTACAAAGCTTAACTACTGTTGACAAAACAAACCCCCCAAATCATGCAAACATGCCCATAGAAAATACTCGTGACAAAACATGTTTAAAAACAGCAGATACTGGTCTCACGTTTGTGCCTAAGCACACAAACCCGGCTGTACCTGAAGTAATTTTTTCTTCCTTAGAAGCTGCTGGGACAACCATCAGAGGTCCTCATCAGGTATCTTTCTGTTTATACTGTACATTTCAAAAAAGGTAATGATTCAAACGACTGCTTTGCAAAGTCTTAAAGACAGAATTAATATATTCTGTGAGGTATCTCACTTGCCCATTTTTCAAGAGCCTATGTTACAGCAGTTGCCCCTAATACCGAAGTATGCGTTCAAGGCACTTTTCCAGTGAAATAAGGCAGGAATTTAAGCAGATGTAAGCACTGTATATGCTTGCACAAATTTCTGGCCATGTAGATAGTAGATATTAATTGCTCTTATATCTATTTCAAAGCTGTCGTTAATACCCTAAACTACTCCCTAGATTGCTTTCTTTCTACCCTTGATCTCAGAGTAACAGGCCATACAATTGTTTTAACTGTTTTAATGTACAGCAGAGAATATGACAAATAGACTAATCTAAAAAATAAATAGATAAATACTTCACTGTGGAGAAAAATGATCTGTTCTTCATCTAGATTATGGGAGTACACCAATGTTTATGTAGGTACTTCGGGCTTGAATTCCAGTCATATCTGTTTGAAGTCCATGGGAGCTTCTGAAAGCAAGGTCTAATTGCTGGCCACTCAAAAGAGCTTTTAAGCAGGTCCTCACAATCACATCTCTGAATATTTTGCTGATATTGCCCAACATCCTGTCTCAACTGAAATTACAGGCAGAATTACTGTGGACCTTTTATAGACTCAGATTTTTTTATATTTTTGTGGCTTTTCTCACTCCTTTTTCAAGAATACAGCAAACAGTGATATTTAGAAATTCTGTGAGCCTGGATTTGGATGATTTTTACTATTTGCATTGATGTGGTTTTGTGTTCTTTGCCAATGATAAGGTACATGAAGCAAAAGAGCTTTATCTCTCCATTTTGTCACTGCATGATAAGCAAAAAAACTAGCATTTGGAAAGCATTTGTATGGCATCCTGTATTTGATGATTTCCTCCACTAAAACCTACCCAGTCTAGTTTAATTTTCTATTGTAAACCAGTTTTGGATGGAAAGTTTAACACATGGAAATTTTGCTTTCGTCATTATTTTATTTTAAACTATAAGGCTGATTTTTCAAAATATATTTTAAATACCTATTTGTAACGTAGGAGATCTCAATTCTATACTAACACAGTAACTACACGAACTGTACTTTTGTCATGCTTTATTTTTCATTGGATCCTGAGTTATAGTTGTGACTGAGTTAAACAAATTAAACCATTTATATTATTACTGGTAGAATTCCTGTGGAGCTGTGAAGCATTCACTCTATTGCTTGTTACTCTTCCCTTTTTCTCTATTCTCTCTCCAACTTGTTCTTTTACTAGTTAGTCTGTGTATTCATTTTTCAATAGATGGCACCCTGCATTGTGTATTACAGCAAGTGAAACAGCTGGTATGTGATTATAAATTGATAGGGGAGTATGCAGCTTAAAAAGTAGAGAAGAACTGCTGTTGAATAGCAATAAGCCTTTAGGTTTGATCATTACTGTTTCTGCAAAATAAGTAAATTAAGGCCATCATTTAGAATGGAAATGATCTGTTTTGTGGAGAAAATGTAATCATGCTAACATGTGAAAAAAAAAAGGGCAATGAGGAACTATTTCAGTATTTATTAAGTTGTAGCTATATAGCACTGTAGAACATAACATTGATTAAAATGTTGCATCTTATCCTGAAGTTTGTTTGAAACAAGCCAATTTTACTTTAGAAACCATATACATCTGTCTGTACATATTTTAAAATACTTCACCTTTATTTAACTGCCTTCAAAAGCTTATGGTGCATATTTTTCCTAATGAATGGGATTCAGCTTTGGACTTTTTGCTGACTATTGTGTCTAGGATGGCATTGAAAGATAATATATATGTAGATTAAAGTGCTGGTTTTTTAAAGTTACTTGCACACGTGCCCTTTTGACTACATTAAGCTTAGTAAAATGTATGCATAATACTTGTTCTTCGTATTTTAACTATCTTTTTAAGGAGTAGTTACACTGCTTATCGTTTCCATCATCTCTGCCCTGGGTGAAGCTCTAATAGGGAGGAATGAGATACCTGAATTTTTTTCCTGGCATGGATAAAACTTTCAAGTATTTACTACATATGTTAACTTATAAAATGGAAAACCCCATAAATGCAATAGATTTGGCAACAGTAAGTTCTTGGAACTGCTCTCAGTTGCTGTAATAAATTTAGCTCTTTCCTTCTTTGTGGATACTAAATGTGAAAACTCGGTACTGTTTCCTTAGGATGTAGTAACTTTTTAAAAAACATGTGACTGAAAAGAGCAACAGTTTAAAATAAACATGGATATGAGTGGACATATGATTTTACAGATTACAGTTAACTGGGACTTGCACATATATGCATTTGTTTACTGGGTGTTCACAAACTCAGGAGGTTATTTCTACCAAAAACATTCCATTGGGATGTTTATGACTTTAAAAGCAAATCACTCATCCATGGATCTTAATCTGAATATTAACTTTCTCGAAGCATCTGCTTAAATACATTCTTATTCAGAAAAACATTTTAAGCACATGCTTAATACTCAAAGGAAGAAATGGAGTTAAGTGCCTGCTTCAGTGTGTTGCTGGATGAGTACTTTCCCTTGTTGTGTTTCTAAGAGTAGAAGTCTTATTATGTCCTCAGTAGGGCTTTTACAAGAATACTTTAGCTTTTTAAAAATGGTATTTCCTTACATGATGTGATATTAAAAAGAAGTAATTCTAAACACATTTCTGTAGGGATATTTAAGTGTGTCAGTGTCTAGATAGATTTAATATGCAATTTACACCAACAACATACAATAAGGAGACTCTCTGAGCTGAAAAAAGTGGTGTGATTGCACTTAATTGCTAATTAGTCAATTTAATTATATGGATTGCTGACCATAATGAAAGACAGTAAATCTGCTACTGCTATTTGATAAGCTAAACACTGTTTAAACATGGAATGGACAGGGAATTGATTCCAAGAAGTTGTAGCTGGTTTAAAAATTAAGGATTAACCGTCGTGAAAGCCAGGTTAGTAGTACAGTGAGTTACCAGGGGAAGAATAAACAAAAGATTCCAACCATTTGGTCTGATGAAATTTGAATGAGAGCTGAAAATTAAAACTCTTGGGTAAGTAGAGAAAGCAAAAAATTTAAAACTTCAAAAGAAACTACTTTCTGAAGTATTCTTTTTTGCCTTTCCATGTGTGATTGAGGCAATAGAGAAGGAAGCTGAGCCAAAAAAACTGTAGGGCTCTCTCCTCTCCTAGGTTCCATCCCCACATAGAGCTGATACCAGCTTGCTGCCATTCTGTCTGCTTTGCAGTCACAGCAGTATGTATTTAGTTTTCAGTTTACTCAAAACCTAGCCTTCCTGGCCATGTAACATAATGATGTATTTTACCATGTTGCTAATATTAATGAAACTTAATTTTTAACTTTACTTTGAAAAGTGATAGAAGACATTTGGATTCCTAGTTGATATCAAGCTATATAATTAGTGTACCCTCTGACTTAAAGTATGTCTCACACTGAAGACTTAATAACTATATTGTCGCGTAAACAGACTTGCTGGCTTTAAACTAACTAGCTCAGGTACCAAGAACAGTACAGCTGCAGAAACCAAATTTAGCATCATTTACAGAACTGCCTGAATGCATGGATGAAATATTCAGATGGCTCTATTAAGCTGATGCTGTCATGGCAGAATGAATCCTGAAACTGAGATTATTCCATATATATCTACAGTAAAAGGCAGTCAGACTAGACAAGTAACTTAAGCCATATGACATTGCTCTACTTATTTTCTCAGTAAACTGAAGACTAGATATGTACCACTAAGAACAAAAATAAAGTCTCTTTCATATTAAGTTTTTATAGTAAACATGTGTTTTATTCTAAAGTAAAAATGTCTGTTCTTATTTCTGTTAAATGTACTATGGTTTCTACAGTAAAATATTGAAATAAAATGTTAATGAAAAACATTAATATTTATCATACTGACATAAAATTTGTTCACAGCAGTATTTATCAAGAATAGGTATCAGAGCATTTTAAATGTTTGCAAGGATAGTATGTTTATGGAACTTTAAAAAAAATCAAAGTCCTATCTTGCTTTTCTTAAATGAGAACTTCCTAGTTATGTCTCTGGTTAGGCACGTGTAAAGTACACCTAGTTTAAATAGGCAGGTATTTTTTTTATAAATGTATTCATTGTAAACCACAGCAGTAATCATTTTCTGTTTCTTTTAGCTCGTTTGGCAGCCTCAAGACAATGTTTTGCTGGCACAAGCCTATACAGACTCTGAACTGAATCAGTGTGGAGTATGTGAATTCTGTCGAGAAGTTTTCCCACCATCTATAACATCTAAGGAAGATTTTCTTCGGCATCTGAATTCCCACTTTAAAGTACAGTCTTAATGTATGAGAATTGAATGGATCGCTGTCTTTTTGCATATATTTGATTTTTTTTATTCAATAGATAGGCTAAGAATTTAAGACTTTCTGTAACAAGAACTCATGACTGAAATTGTCTGTCAGATAAGCACATTTTTAATTGTCATCTGACAAGGTAAAATGAAACCATAAGTTACTCAGTACTGTAATTCACGTTATTGCTTGTCATCTTTCAATATTACCTCTGAGTAATATCTGAGATTGATGTTACATGCTGGTTTTGGTTTTGGTTTGGGGGGTTTTTTGCAATTACTGATTGCCTGAATAACCCCAAAGTCATAATTATGTGCATGAATACAGATTTACAGGATCAAGTCCATAATCTGGGAAGACTGGTGTAACGCTAGAATTTTTTCTCAGTAGCTCCTGACGTGATTCTGTTTTTGAAGTAAACAGGGAGGAAAAGTAGGGTCTCATTTTGAATTTCTGTTTTAATATTGCCAAATTTAATTTACAATAGTGAACCTCAAATCAGATTCTCATAACATCAGTGAAGTGACTGAATGCCAGGTGTGCCAAAATTAGGATAGGCTGTTCACTGGTAATAAAACTGACTTCCCCAGATGAACTGTTTACTAGGGTGATTAATCAAACACAGCACACAAATGACCCTTTTGCTAAAATGTAATGGTAACAATTTTATGTACATCTCATAAATACTGTTAAAAGATAACAACTTTGTTAATGTACTTTTCTAGCATATACTTTTCTAGCATATACTTTCATGGAAAAGGGTATATCAGTAGCAAGGATGAAGTGAGAATGTTCCCCAAAACCAAGAGTATAAAAGATTGATCAACTTTCTTGTCTGTTGTGAAGTGTTGTTCAAATCTCTTATGGCCTACGACGGAAAGGGAAAAAACCTATTCACCCAAATCTAGGTGACATCATTCTTAACCTGCAAATATGCATTTTGCCTATGCAAATATGCAATAAAAGTTGCACATTTTACAGATGTATTGGGTCCAAATTTAAAAAGAGGTTTTTTTATTAAGCAATTTAAATTAATGATAAAGCACGATGACTTGGAGCTTTTTGCATTTGAACCGAGTATAGTTTTCAGTCCAGATATTTGATAACTAGCATTAATATTTTTATAGCAATAAAGCACAACACTTTTTTTCCTTTTAAAGATTTGTTTGCAGGTGACCTGTTTCTGGAGCAATTTACACCTGCATGATTTTTAGAAATAGTTTTTCCTGCAGTGATTTACTCTATTTTAAATACCTTATGTTTGTGACTGGCTATCAACAGAGCGTACTGTAATAAACAGCAGTATACAGTGCATGTCTGCTGCATGACCTGGAGAAAGAGTTTGTTACTATTAACAGCTCCAACCCCTTCCAGTACCCAGCACCGAGGAGGACACGCTCATCCCTGGACTCGCAGTGCCGTGTGTGCAGTTCCTCCCAGAGAGCAAGGCTGGGGGTGGTTCCTGGGAGAGGCAGAAGTTCCGGGATTGGAAGGAGAAGGGAATTCGCACATATCCAGCCAGCCCGGCACTAAACCGACTTATCCTCTCAGCCGTGAAATTCGAGCCCAGGAGCTCACGTTATTAAGAGTTGAACAAAGCGCGAATCGCCTTTAAGGAAAACAGTGTCATCTCCCCCCACTCTCCCGCCGGCATGCACGCGTCTTCTCCGTGAGCTCTCGTGCTGGCACAGCGCGCGTCCCCGCGCCGGGCCACGCTTCTTCCAAATCCTCGTCGACCAGCAGAACCAATCCAACTCCTTAGTAAGAGCGTTCCTGCCTAGGGCGACGTTTTAGGAACCTATTTAAATCTGTGTGTTTAAAAGTATTCGTGCCCGAGGGCATCCAGATAGGCTCACCGATCAGACCACAGCGAGGGGCGCCAGTCTATTTAAAAAAAAAAAAAAATCTCACGCTAAGCAGTTGTGAGCGACTTGAAGTGGGAGGTGAGTGCGGTCCCTGAGTGGGCCCCGCTCTCATACAGCTTTCCTGGAGGAGGCTGCTGCTGCCAGCAGGGACATCTGCTTTATTACACTCACCAGAGGAGGTTCAGTATTCCTCCCCTCCTCTCCCCCTTCCACACAAGCTCAACTCAGCAGAGGAGGCTGAGTCCAAATGGGAAGTGGGATTTCATTAAAAAAAAAAAAAATCTGTAGGGAGGAAGTAGAAGCGGAGAGGAAAGAGCAGCAGACCCGTGCCAAGGTGTTCTGCCGCATTCCTCCCTCTCCTCCCTCTTTCAGGGCTGGCGGAGTCCCTTCGAGGGTAATCTCAGGGCTGAGGCTGCTTTCAAAGCTCCTGTAGGGGTTCACTTGCCATGCCTCACCGTGACATGAGAACCCCCACGTTTATAGCCAGTATTCACAGGAACTGTAGTTCTGACTTGAAAGCAAGGAGGCAAACGGCTTCCCTTTCCTATCCGGGAGGTTTCTGAGGGGCATGGTGTGCGTGGCGCTACCGCTGCCGCAGCCTGCTGCAAGGGCTCGGGGCCGGCGGCCGGCTAGAACACATGTAGCTCCTCTGTCTCTCCGGCTACCCTCGACAGCTGCTCGTACCTCCAGTAATTAGACTGTCAGTGCTCGTTAGAGGAGAGGAAAACGCTCCTATGACAGATTCCACGAGTCCTCTGTTTTTTAACATCTCACAGAAATCACCAGAGCAGAGCATTAATTGAGATCTCTTATTTCTCTTGAACCGGGAGAAGTTCCCTCTGCCATCTCGCTTATTCCCGCACTCCGATGAGAGCTCTCTTCCGACTCTCATGAAACACAGTTAATTTACTCTAAGAGGCTCAGTAAAAGTTACCTTCCTTCCCTACCTACCCAGGAGGAAGACAGATCTTTTTAGCCATGTGAATTTAGTTTTAAAATCCCCTCCCCACATTGCTGAATTTAACTAAAAAGAAAACGCTGTAAAAGTGCAGTCTTTCCTCCATTAACTGAGCGGAGGAGTCGCGCCTCACGCTATCATTCCCCATCCAAGATAAGGTTAATTCAAAGGAAGCTCAGGAGAGGCTGTTCCCCCTTACGAACAAAAGCGCTGTAGGATCAAGCCGAGACGCTCCTACCCCCACCCATGGTTCACCCAGCAGATGAGACTCAGAGGAGGCGATTTCTTTTCCTCCGTACCGTACATTCCCCTTTCCCCCGCAATCATACGAGGTTAACTCAACAGAGGAGTCTCAATCCAAATGGCAACTGGGATTACATTAAAAAAAAATGAAGGAAGGGGGAGAAAAAAATCAGAAATAGGGAAAGCAAAGAGAAAAAGCAGCAGGCTGATTACGAGGTGTCAAAACTGCCAGGAGCAAGAAGGTGATAGCAATCAGGGGTGAGAAGAGTGCGCCATTCGTGCGGGGCAGCTAATTATCCGTCTCATTTGAGAAGAGCAGCATTCGAGGCAGCAGCGTTCGCCTTTAAAACAATGGAGCCGGGCTTGCGAGCGCTGCTGCATGCTAATCAGCCCGGCCTCCTTCCTTCCTTCCTTCCTTCTCTCCTTCCCTCCCTCTCTCCCTCCCTCCCTCCCTCCGCCTGCCTGCCTGCCGCGATCCCTCCTTCTCGCCGGCCGCATGGCAAGCCCAACGCAATCAGGCCCCTCTGCAACTGACAGCACCACACCCGGCATAGGTGGCAACTCGCGGCGAGCCCCAGGGGGGCCGCACGGCGGGTTGGGCACCACCCAGGGGGCTCTAGCAATAGGCTCACCGAGAGCAACGGTAGATTTCATCCAGACTTCGCCCCTACTGCCCAGGCACCCAGGAGGCCGTTAGTACCTGTCCCCGCAAGGGACAGAGGCGAGGAGCTCTTCGTACAAGTCCTGTGGGTTCCTTAAGCAAACATCCTGGCACCTTCTCCCCCCGCAAGAGGACAGACGATAGCAGGCAGTGCCGCTTCAGTTCCTAGCGGGGTTGCGTAGTAAGAGACAAGGAATGTAACGCCAAAGCCCCAGGCGAAGCCCTCAAAGGCGAGGGAAGTGCAGATCTGCGCCAATTACTGATGGACTCCAGGGGCTTTGGTGCCCCGTTGCTCTGTATACAGCGACTAAAGTCCAGAATGCTAAACGGGTTGTAAGCAAGTCGTACGGCCTCTCTTCCACCGCCTCTTCTTTTGCCTCTCGGATTGCTTGGCCTTGCAAGTCTGAATGGCTGCACATACCCGGGTTGCACCCAGTGAGGGGGCACAAAATAGCTGGCCTTCCCCCGGAGCAGGAAGGCTTCCATTGCAAAACGGTGCGACAGGGTCTGCACCCCTAATCCCACAGCAAAAGCAGTTCGAGGCAAGGAGAGGGGGAAAATGCTTTACTCGGAATCATTTTGGCCCCAGCTCCCGCAAAGTCCTCACTCTCCGGAATCCACAAGGCAAACCCTAGAGCTGGAGCATCAGCAGCCCAGCTACAACAAGTGCTCCACACTGCCAGGGAGAAGCAGAGGAATGAGCGTTGGAATGTTTACTCTCCAATATTTCTCAGTTTCCATTCCATCCTGCCCTGAAAGATTTCTGATTACTATACACTTCAAAATAGTATTTATTACAGATTTACATAATCTGTATGTTTTATGTTAAGGGAATAACACATTGATGCTGTACTCTGAAAGGAGTTAATCTGAGCTATGTAATGTCTGCTTTAACAGAGTTCCAACTAAAACATGTCCTCGTTCCCTGGCATTGACAAGTAATGCATGCCCAGAAAGGCACTGTCCAGCACATTAGACACGCTGCCAGGTGAAGCCATTGCTCGACTCCTGAACCTTCGACGGGCTAAGGAGCAGCCTTTAGCAAAATTAAATTATATGCGCCTCTGTGTAACCTCCCGTTTAATTTAACAAGTGTTACTTCAAATAGCACGAGCCTGCTTTACGACAGAATTCGTGGGGGTAAGCAAACAAAGAAAGATTAAACCGTATTAGGCCTGAGATAAGCAGCATAATAACTCAGGTTGAATACTATTTAGAATAGATTTCTTGAGTGAATGTATGGGTGGGGGGTAGTAATAGCGTTTAAATTTTGTTATTCTAAGTCTGTCGTTGGGTGTACTTGATGAGATTGTCCATGAGCATACAGATGGTGAGATTTTCATGCTTCTGTGGCATACTGACATCTCAGGCTGTAAAAATAAATTCCCAGATCGCTGCAATACCTAGGAGGTAGAAAAATCTAGTCCACCTTAATGCTCAACATGGGAGTGCTTTACGCTTAGGAGATATTGTAATACTAGATACACAAGTTTGTGTAAATCGAGAATACTAATTTAATGGATATAAAATATACAGAAAAAATAAGATAACCTCTGTGCCCTTTTTAAGCGAATTTTTTTGTGCTTCTGAATTTAGCAATATGGGGGATGGAGATGAAATCTTGCCCCTTGTGCTACTATCTACAAAGATTTTGTTAAAACCTTCTATATAAGGATGAAAGGGGAAACTGACAGTTGACTCTTTGTTAGGTTAAGTTACTTTTCTGAAAAGATTCTTAGGTAGTTTCTTCATTTCACATAATTTTCCCAATTGCTAAGAAATTATTTTACCTATTATGATGATCTATGCTGCAAAGAACAGACATGTATGTATTGGCATTCAAGACGAATGCTGAGATATGGTCTTGACTATCATAACCACTTTTTGCCTGCAAAAGAAAGCATAGCGTGGACTGGTCTGTAGCCTCTTCCGTCTGGAAACCAACTCTGATTTTGCTCAAAATAGTTGGGGTAGGGCACCCCTATTGGTTAATGTTTGGCTACAGAATGAATACTCAAGGTTCTAGGATTTATTAAGGTTTCTGAGCTGACCGAATTAAAATTTTTAAATAGATATATATAGCAGGGTGATATGGTGAAA